GGGAAGGAAGGAAGGAAGGAAGGAAGGAAGGAAGGAAGGAAGGAAGGAAGGAAGGAAGGAAGGAAGGAAGGAAGGAAGAAAATAATGGAAGCAGGCTTCAGAGAGGTATCTGCACCTCTGCTATCATTGCAGTAGTACTAGTAATAGCCAAGACACAGCAATGATCTAGGTGTCAATTGATAGATGAATGGATAAAGAAATGGTGTTATATATATACAATGGAATATTAGCCACAAAAAAGAAAGAAATCCTGACGTTTGCAATAACATGGATGGACCTTAAGGGCATTGTGCTCAGTGAAGTAAGTCAGGCAAGAGTAAGGCTAATACTGCATGAACTCACTTGTAGGTGGAATCTTAAAAAACAAACAACAAAAAACCATCAAACTCATAGTAAAAGAGGTCAGATTCATGGTTACCAGAGGCAGAATTGGATGAAGGTAGTCAAAAGGCACAAAATTTCAGTTTTAAGATATATGAGTGCTAGGAATGTAACATACAATGTGATGACTAATACTTAACATGTATTAAAGTTGCTAAGACAGTAAATCGTAAGAGTTCTCATCACAATGAAAAAAAACATGTTTTGGGGTATCTATATGAGATGATGAGTGTTAACTTACTGTGGTATCATTTCATAATATATATAAGTCAAGTGATTATATTATACACCTTAAACTTACACAGTGATGTATGCCAATTATATCTCAATAAAACGGGTGGAAAAAATCAAGGGGAAATAAAAAAAACAAGTAGCAGAAGAAGGATTCAAACCAAGTGTAGCTACAAAAAGAGCCAGTGTTCTCCCTCTACCTCCTGCTGCTGCCCATGAAGTTGGGTGCACCTTGGAGATGCACTTTTCTAAAGCAGTTCCATAAGTTGAATATTCCCAGTGGGAATATGATGGACAAGCTGCCTCTCCCTTAGAGGATAGGGTGGGGTCATGTTAGAGAAGCCTGGAGGGGAAAGCAGCAGAATTAAGGGAGAAAAGATGAAGCTAGGAAGCAGACCACACCCACTTCTGAATTTTTCTAAGACTCCTCTCTCTATACCAATCGGTCTCGTTCTTTATGAAGGAGTCTTATTGGAGGATCAATATGGAAGATGGAGTTTCTTCCCAGGGCTTGCTCTCCAATTGGGGAAAACACATGAGGTCTTCAGCGCTGTCCAGAGTGGGATAATTTCATAACGAGACTCAACAAGAATTGACCAATGGGTACACATGGTCTTGGAGGGCTGGTGGGTGGGCTCTGACCTCTGCAGGATACCATCTCTATCATTGACTTACATGAAGACAGGGGGCTCACCTATATCACATTTGTAAAATTCATAAAATTAAGAGAGAGCATTCTTTTTTTCCCCATCTTTATTGAAATATAATAATTAGTTGCTTGTACTTACATTGTACAATTCAATGAGTTTTTTCAATTATAGTTGGCGGATAATAATATACCAGTTTCAGCTGTACAGTATAGTGATCAGAGAACCACATAACTCGCAAAGTGATCACCCCACTAAATCTAGTACCCCTCTTTCCCCTTACATATTTATTACAACATTATTAACCACCTTTTCCATGCTACACTCTACATCTCCATGTCTACTCTGCAACTATTTATTTGTACCTCTTAATCCCTTTGCTTTTTTTTTGTCCCCCAACCCCCCTCCCATCTAGTATCCCTCTAAATATTCTCTATGAATTTATTTCCGCTTTGTTACTGTTGTTGTTGATTTTGTTCTTTAGATTCCACAAGTACGAGTTTTTTCAATTATAGTTGGCGGATAATAATATACCAGTTTCAGCTGTACAGTATAGTGATCAGAGAACCACATAACTCGCAAAGTGATCACCCCACTAAATCTAGTACCCCTTTTTCCCCTTACATATTTATTACAACATTATTAACCACCTTTCCCATGCTACATTCTACATCTAAGGGGGAGCATTCTTATGATGGGCGGCAGGATAGAGATTCAAAAGGATGCTTTGGGCTGCAAATAACAGAAATTTCCAAGTAGCTTAATAAGCAAATGTGGCTCAGGGACCTAGAAGTGCAGAAAACAGTGTCAGGACTCTGATGAAGCAACACTGCAAGGCTGCCAAGGACCAGGTTCTTTTTGTTTCTCCTCCTGCTATCCTGATGGCTTCTTCCCAAGGCTCTGTTGTAAGATGACAGTCACTGTCGACTATAGCCACAGACTGCCCTATGGCTGCTTGCCCAGGAGGACGGACAGCCTGACTTCTTATAGCTCTTTCCTAAGAGCAAGAAAGCTTCTTTACCTCAACACCCAGCAAGCCAGCCTGTCTAAACATCTCATTGGCCCAAAGTGACTTGAGCCTGCCCACTATTGGATCATCTTCCGCAGAGGGCTGAGGTACATGATTGGCTTACGCCAGTGGTTCTCAAACTTTTTAGCTTTGGGACACTTTTATACTTTTAAAAATTATTGAGGACTCCGAAGAGTTTTGTGTGTGGGGGTGAATTACATCTATCAAAACCACACGTGAGAACTTTTGACTTAGACTAATCAGCTGGGAAAAAAATGAGCCCAAGGCCCTTACTGTGATATTCATGGCAGGGTCAAAACTATAAAATCCTGAAACAAGGAGCTGAAACTTAACTAAAATAAATGCAAAATTTGGACTTAACTCAGAAAATTAATTGTCCAAAAACAGTGGAAAGGAGACCTATTCTGGCTTCAGCTCACATTAAAAAAAAAAATTAAGTCCCTAAGATTAGAAGAATTTCAGACCATATGACTCAATGATCCCTAAGTGCTAGTCCACAAACAGCCACAAATTTTGTCTTTTATTCTGAGATTTGAATTATTCTATTTCTTATAATTGAAATGTCTTTTTTTTTCTTTTAATCAAATGATCCGTCCTCCTGGGCAAATGATTTTTTTTCTTTTAATCAAGTGAATTTGTTGGTTTTCTTTCAACTTCCTTACTTAGCACACACCGCTCTATTATTGACAAATGCCAATAGTAAACTCAGATTAGCAGAAAGACTAGGCCAAGACGCCACTTAAGTAAATAAAATAGGGTTTGCTTACCTAGAGCAGAAGTTGTTCCTTGTGCTAAATCTAACCCACTGTCTACTTTTGCAAATAAAGTTTTATTTAAACACAGCCATGCCCATTTATGCTACAAGGGCAGAATGAAGTAGTTACCAAAGAGATGGTATGGCATCCAAAGCCTAAAATATTTACCATCTCTCTCTTTATGGAAAAAGTCTGGTGACCCCGATCTAGAAGTTACAGAAGGAATGTGGCCCAGTCAGTAACGTAGCAGATAGGTAACTTGATTCAGGACAGACAGCAGTGAGGATTCAGGACCCCAAGTTCTCTGGAGGGTGGTACACAGTTGCAGATGTCAAATGCTGGGGCACTGAGGTTGCATCAGGCCTCCTGGGAACAGAGTTCTTTCTGGATCATACCTTAAAGGCACAAAGCAGGACCAGGTCTGCATGAGGGTCACCTGGCAATGACCCCAGCCATAGGACAGTACAGAATATTCAGCCTGACAACTCCATACTTGTCACCTGTACCTCCTCATGCTGCCATAGGTTGGCCCAAACTGCTCTTGAAACGGCGGCTGCAAAACCAGGCACCCCCAGGAGTGAGGCCAGCACCCCCAGCTATGGAGCTTATGCTGAACACGGCAAGATTTTAAGTTGATATATTTGTCCTCCAATTTTTTTTTTTTTTTGGGTCAATTTTTGACATTTCACTGCTTTTGATGCCCTCAAGTCTAGGAACCATTAATCTAATGCCACCTACTGCCCTTTTGGCTCTCCTTCTTGTCCCTGTAAGGTGGTTCCTGGCTTCTGGGATTGTAATCACATTAGCGGGGAAGCTCAATATCACAGAGCAGCCATCCTGTCGAAAGTCACCTCTTGCTATCAGAAAATTTTTGGTCAGTCTGAATCAAATCTCCTTTGCGGTAACTTCTTCCCACTGGAGATCACACACTAGGTCTTTCTTTCTTTTACATGTCAAACATTCTACGTTTGTTTCTCTCTGTGCGTGTGTGTGTGTGTGTGTGTGTGTTTTTTCCTCCAGGAGTGATGTACCCAGTTTCCCATGCACTCATCAGATGACACAATCACCCTCTTCCAGAAATACTCTGGTCGATAAATGTGCCTCTTAAAATAACATGCCTGGAACTGGACAAAATACTCCAAACATCCCAACATGCCCAGCTGCTCCACAGCACTCCATTTATGTAACTGAGAAAAGGCCTAATTTTTCTAGCAGCTACCCTATACTTCATACTTCATACCATAATCTCACACAGCAATTCCATACCACTGACTCATGTTGATGGGTGGAGGTTGGGCGTGGAAGGTGGAGGTGGGGGAAAAATTAACATACAATGAGTGTCTTCTAAGTACCAGGCTTTGTCTAGATACCCTACCTGATACCTTATTTGTTCTTCCAACAAGCCTGCAAGGTAGATATTATCCCCATTTTGCAGATGAGGAATCTGAGGCTCAGAGAAGTTAAGTAATTTGCCCAAGGTCACACAGCTGGTGAGTAACAGTCCTGGGTTTGGAACTCTTATCTTTTGGCTCTGAAGCCTGTGTTCTTTTTCTGTGGTACATTTCCTTAAAACTATAAAGCTTTGGCTATTCTAACCTCAAGTCATTTTCATATGAACAGCTGTCATTCAGGTCTCCCCAGTACTATTCCTGTGCCTGTTTTCTTTTTAAATTAATTACTCTTTTCTTCTGGTTATAAAGTAGTAGCTACCCACTGTAGAAAAATTAAAAGTGTAGAAAAAATGCAAATGAAAATAACTCTATCCATAAACTTATCATCCAAAGTTAACCAGTGTTAACATCTAACACATCTCTTTACAATCTTATTTCTATGCATGTATGAGACTGAACCACATAAAATGGCCTATATTCAATCATTTTTGATCCACAAAAAAGGGAGATTTCATTTATTCAACCTAACTTTTTTTTTTAACATATATTGGGAATCACACTGTACATGTAAAATTTGTATTCTGCCTTTTCACTTAATATTACATCTTAACATGCCCTGAAATCTTCTAAAATTCTTGGTAGTGGCATTTTAATGGTGGCATAACATTAAAATAATTTGGATTTTAAATAATTGAATTAATGATTCTTCTGTTGTTGGACATTTGAGTGTTTTTCATCACAATAGTTCTGTGATAAACATCTTCATATGTAAATATGCTTTTATATATATCTGATTATTTCTTAGAATTAATTCCTAGAGGTAGAAGGGAGGTTGAAAGGAACGCCTGTTTCAAAGGCTCTTGATATATGTTACTTTCCAGAGAGTTTGAACCAATTTTCACACACACTATACCTTTACCTGTGTAGAATATTATTAGTTTCAAATATTTGTTAATTTGGTTGTTAAAAAATGGTGCAGCATTATTGTTTTAATTTTCATATCCTTGATTCTTTTTGAATGTTTTACAATTTATTCTTTGAACCTAAATGCAGGTCTTTACATTTGTCTCTGTATGTCACATTATTTTATTCCACTGAGATCTTTTTGAATCAAAGATGAGCCAGTAATGTGAAGTGACTGCTGAACAAGTAAATGCCTGCTTGGCCGCATTGACAGGAGTGCAGTGTGTAGATCAGGAGAGGTGATGGTCTCTCTCTACTTCTTCCTAGTCAGAGGATACACACGGAGCTTTTCAGCTATCCAGTTCTGAGTGTCTTACTTAAGGACTTTGACAAACTGGAGTGCATTCATTGAGTGAAATGGCGAAGGATTGTGGAAAGAGATTAAAGACACAGGGAACGGTTAGTGCTCGGAAGATAAGTGAGCAACGGATGGGCAGAATAGCTGTATTAAAAAATGACCGGCCCCTCTGTAAGAACTTCATAACTTTTCTGTAAGCCTAAAACTATTTTAAAATGGAAAGTTTATTTTTAAAATAAAGACAGGCCTTAGATATAAGACAAATTCAGTTTAAGTGGTTCCAGAAATAAAAAGGACCAAACATGTAAATTAAAAGGTAATAAAAAAAAATTAAAAAAAAATAAAGATAATAGATTTTAGCTTCACATGAGAAAAAATTTTGTCATATTTTGCACTGCTGTATACTGAATGAATTCCTTGAAAAGCAATGAGCACCTTGTCCCTGGTGGTATTCAAACAACAGCTTAAATTCAAGGTGATGTAAGAGGCCTTATATATAGGACAGAAGTTTGAATTGGCATCAGATAATCCCTGAAATCTTTTCCAAAGCCAAGATGTTACAAGTCTATGAACTGATGTCTCTGGGGTATGAACAGCATAGCAGCCCAAGTTCAAGGGATTCGAATAGCCTGAAGCAAGTACACTCTGAGGCAGAAAAGGGCAGAGTCAGCCAGGTGGGCAGGTGGGGCTGACACATGCCTCTTTCTGCAGCACAAGTACCTGCTGAAGCTGAAGGTCATGTACACCGTGGGCTATAGCTCCTCCCTGGTGATGCTCCTGGTTGCCCTCAGCATCCTCTGTGCTTTCCGGTGAGAACACGCTTCCAGCTCTTCTTCTCCTCGGGCTTCCCAGTACACAGACTTTACGTAACTGCTCGGGCCAGAAGAGGAAGGTCTGGGTGGGCCACTTTGTTATTCCTTGATCTAAAGCTTACCTGAGACAAAAGTTTCTTCATTCCTTTATTCATTCAACACCTATGAGCGTTACTAAGAACTTACTGCACCAGTTGCTTTACATGTGTTATTTCTAATTTCACACAATGCTATGAGATAGGTACAATTTTCTCCATTTTACAGGTGTATTAGCCAGATTCTTGGTTGTAAGAAACATAAATCCACCTTAAAATGGCTTAAGAAAAAAAAAAAAGGTGACGTAATTCACCTAATTAACAAGTTCAGGGGCATCTGGCATTAGGCATTGCTGGATCTAGGTGCTCAAAGGTATCAGTAGAACTAGGTCTGTCTTCCTCCATTTCTCCACTATGCATTGGCTTCATCCTCAGGTAAGCTTTCTGCAGAGGAGGCAGAGACAGCCACCAGCAGCTGCAGGGGTACATTCTCTTTTCTCCCTCTAGTCTGTGTTTTTTCTGTGCTGCTTGCCCCCTCATTCTGGTTGCCTGCCTCCGGCACCCCACACTCCTTCTAAACAATTCTGGGAGCTGGAGATGGTAGTAGGTCAGGGCAGAATATAATGTTGCCCCTATGACCCCAGCTTTTTCCTTTTTTTTAATTACATCATACACTGTAGACTGGGCTTCTAGGGGCCTATATTCTTCTTTAGATTCTACTAACAGAGAGCTATAGAGAGGTGTGTCATCTGGAAAGAGCTGATGACCAGAGCCTGGGTTGCCCCTGTACTTTGGGGGAGGGGCGAGCCTGGCTGAGCCCTAGCCTCTCCCAGCTCAGGCCCCTTTGGCCCTGCTTTCTCTCCTTCCAGGAGGCTGCACTGCACCCGAAACTACATCCACATGCACCTGTTTGTGTCCTTCATCCTGCGTGCCCTATCCAACTTCATCAAGGATGCTGTGCTCTTCTCCTCAGACGATGTCATCCACTGCAGTGCTCACAGGGTAACATGCCTGCATGTCCCAGGGTGAGGGTAGGCCTGTCTGTCTTCCTTGGCCTAACTTTGGAGGGGGTATCCTTCCCTGCTGAGGCTGCGTGTAATACCTAGGTTAAAGGGGCCAGCACGGGGGCTGGGCCAGAAGGTTCAGTGAGAGTCTCATGTGCTCACATGCACAGTCTGAGTCATGTATGAGATCAATTTGTTGGGAAGCCATGGGGGCTGCTGCTCAACTCCCAGTGTTCCAGAGTGGTTTGCCACTCTGGGATTTAGATACATAGCAAGATTCCTCTTTTCCCTGCTCCTGCCAAGTCTCAGCTGTATAGACAGATAGCCAAATCTAGAGAGGGTTGGGGTAGGTTGTAGAAGGAAAAGAGTGGGCATGTACCTGTATACCTACACACACAGCTCTTCAGTAAAACAGTCATGTTTTGTTAAATCTAACCATCTTACTCCTTCTGAATGCTCAAACAAATCTTAATTCATTGTAATAACACTCTGTGTCCGTTGGGAATCCTTTTTGGTGCATACCACAGAAAACTGTGCATCAGTGGCTTAAACAGATGGGGCTGGTTTCCCACATAAGCAGTCCACAGATGGGCTATCCAGAGGTGACACAGTAGCTCCACGATGTCATGAAGGACACAGTCGTCTTTCCTCTTTCTGCCCTGCCATTTTTGATCCCATGCTTTAAACCACACATTTACAATATGGCTGTTGCAATCCCAGGCCTCACATCCACATTCCAAACAAGAAGAAGTAAAGTCAGAGCTTTAACTTTTTCTCTCTTTGGGAGACTTTGCCTTTTCATTTGGGAAAGAACACCCTCCCCCAAGACTTCTATCTACCTCTCACTGGCTAGAAATGGGTCATGTGACCATACCTAACTGCAAAGGAAGCTGGGAGATTGAGTTTCTTACTATCAGAGTCTCCAAAGCAGAGGCAGGTGAAGGAGAAGGGGATTGGAAATTGAGTTTGGTTCAATCTGCCTGCCACTTTCTACCACTCAAATCTGTGATTTCTTATAGATCTATTAAGTTTGTATTATTTATAGCTTTTTGCTTGTGCGTGCATGTGCACATGTGTGAGTGTGTGTGTGTGTGTGTGTGTGTGTCAGTTTGTATTATTTATAGCTTTTTGCTTGTGCATGCATGTGCACATGTGTGTGTGTGTGTGTGTGTGTGTATGTTTTCTGACTGGAACTGAAAGGTCCCTAAAGTAGGGCCTATGATTCTCAGGGAGATCTCCAGGAGATAGTCAGGAGACTGAAATTCAGGCTCCACCCCATCACTGAGTCAGGAGTGGAGAAGTCCAGCAGTGTCCAGCAAGGAACTTTCTCGGATTCTGTTAACATCAGACTTATGAGCCAACCATGGATCATGCGTGGAATCAGAGTCTCTGGGAGGCCTTAGAGTCAGAACAACAGCTGGCCAAAAGAGCAGTAGTGGGTTCTCCTCCTCTGTGGACATGACTGCATAGCAGTCCATGAAGCAGCCCTTAGGCCATCCCAGGAGCTATCCTCTCCCCAAGGGACAGTTCAACGAGAAGAAAAGAGATCCTCATGGTGCAAGTATGGGAGCTGTGCTGGCATAGAAGCCCCACAATCCTACAGTCATCCATAGCTTTCAGGGATCCCTACAAGGGACATGCCTGTTATAAGAGTCACTTCATCAGGCAAGGCCAACACTATAGCATCTCCATCGGGTATTCAGAGGTCTCCAGTTCAGATACAGTGTACCAGTCAGGGACCATTTTTATTATAATCAGTGTTCCCTCCTAACATAGTTGGTATGTCCCTTCTTAATCTGTTTCCAGGGACACTGAGCTTGGAAAGGATTTTAACCCTTTGCTCAGATATTCCTTTTCCTCCCTAGGCCTCAATTTCTTAATCTGAAAAATGAGGGAGTTGGGAGTTGAGCAGTATCTGACACAATTTTATAACTGGCAGCCAGTTCCAGAATTTGAATGCAGTTCTTGTTTCTGCAATGTCTAAGAAGCCCCATTAGCCATCTTGACCGAGTCTGCTGGATTGTGGACTTCCACTCTCTAGAGAACTCTGTGAGCCTAGTCTTCTGAGAGTGGAAGGCCATAGGGATAGCCATGAGTCCCAGAGCCTTACTCTGTGGCCTATCCCTTGAACCCTAACACATCCTATCATTTCCTTTGGGGCTGGCCACCAGAGGGAAGCCTACAGTCATCCATCCTGGGGCTCATCTGACTCTCTTTGTCCAGGTGGGCTGTAAGCTGGTCATGGTCTTCTTCCAGTACTGCATCATGGCCAACTACGCCTGGCTCCTGGTGGAAGGCCTCTACCTTCACACACTCCTTGTCATCTCCTTCTTCTCAGAAAGGAAGTGCCTTCAGAGATGTGTTGCCCTCGGATGGGGTATGTTTCTCCACGGGTGTAGCGGCTGAGTGGTACGTGGGAAAGGTATCAGAAAGATTTAGTTTCTAGTTCCAGCTTCACACTTAAAGTTAGTTAACTTGTATAATCTTAGATAAGTTACTTGATATTTAACCATCTTGCCTTAGTTTATTTATCTTTCAACTGGGAAATAATAACTAAAATTTAACCCCAATTTCTGGTATTCAAAGCCTTTTACAATTCAATACCACCCAACATTCATTGCCTCATCTTCCTTAGACATTCTTTTTGTACGTCCTCATTTTCTTCTTCCTTTCTATATTAGTTAAGGTGCTCTTGACTGTAGGCATCAGAAAATCTGGCTTAGATAGGCTTTAAACATAAAAGAAATTAATTGGCTCATATAACTGAAAAGTCCAGGGATCACCAACTTCAAACGAGGCTGAATCCAGCAGCTCAATGTTTCTTTCTGTATTTTTACTTTGCTTTCTGTTGATGCTCCCAATGTAACTGCCAGCAGCTTCTGGACTACTGGCTTCCTTGTCACATCTAATGAGAAAAAGAGGCTATGTCTCAGCATTCCCAGGAAATATTCGGACATTCACTCTGATTAGGCCAGCTTAAGTCTCATACACCAATCACAGATGTCTGAGGGAATGGAATATACCAGTTGGCTTAAGCCACTCAAATCATATGGCTTTCCAAAGGAAATCAGGATTCAGTTTCTAGGAAGGAGGGGAACTGGTAGTAGAACAGCCAACTACAGGCCACATTACATCTCTTTCCCCTTTCCTTTCTGGTCAATGAGAATGATAACAACTCTCATTTCTTGAGCACTTACTATGTGCCAGATATTGAGCTCAGCACTTTACATGCATTATTTAATCATCACAACCTTCAGAACCCCTTCAGAGAAACCTTGGCTGAGAGACATGACATAATAACTCAACTCGCACTGTGAATAAGGACAGATCCATGATTCAAACTAAAGCCTCTTTCTAAAGCCCCTTAACTCCTATTTTGCTATATACATTTATCCATCTGTCTGTCTGTCCATCTATCCATCAGTTGTTCATTTGATAAACATATGTAAGTCACCCACTGGATTCTGGACAAAGAGCCAGATTCCTGGGGGTGACTCACAGGCTTACAGGGATGGTCATGTGTACCAGCCATTAGCTTCATTTGCTTTCTTCTTGGTGCTTTTAATTAAGA